TTTTCTTTTCTTTTCTTTTCTTTTCTTTTCTTTTCTTTTCTTTTCTTTTCTTTTCTTTTCTTTTCTTCTTTTGCATAAAGCAAATTAGCATAAAGCAAGGGAAACCTGTATACACATTTTTGGTTCTTTGAAAATGCCACTGGATGAAATAGGAAAAAGGTGAAAGAATATAATAAGCAAGAAACTTTTGATAGAGCAGAATGTAAATATGAAAATAGAATCTCAAAGCAAACCACAGTTTTTATCTAGTACCCCTGGGTCTTCTTTCTTATCCTTCATGTTAGAGCCATTAGGACTTAGAATGGCAAGACCAACAGCCATTGTGTTCTGTATTAATGAGCTTTTAAATGTTATTTCATTTTTTTAAAAAAAAATTGTTATTGGCTCCTCCTCTTTTCTTTTTCCTATGAATCATGTTGAATGCTTATCTAGTGAGGTGTAGCTAATGCCTCAGTTTTATAGCCTACATGTTCTCTACAGCAAACATGAAAAACAACCTTTGGCCCTTTCCCATCTTCATGAGTTCTGCTCCTGTTAATTGTTTACAAGCAGAAGTAACAGGTAAGGCAGATGGGCGTGGGGTGAAAAAGAAGCACAGAAAAGAACAGAAGGACTCATTTAAAGGAAGGAAAGTTGAACAGGGTGCTAGACATATGACAGATACTCCTGGTTTGGTTTAAAACATGCCACATGCCACGTAGCATGTGAAAGAAGCCATCCTAGCCTGTTCTACAAAGTATAATAAGGCAAAAATTATGTATCAGTTTTTGGGAGCATCATTTCTTTTGAGTCAGCTGCTGTGGCACACTAGTGAAACCAAGTGTGGGGAGGATAACTATGTGATCAATGTAATGATGCTAAATGACCCTGACTATCCAATGACTTCAGGAAACTTAAAACCAACTGTAGAACTGGGCCTCCAACTGGTGCGTGACATTCTGAAAGGTAAGGATGGTAACTGCATTGTTCTACAGTTTTCAGTACTTAGAAAACCTTTAGCTATCAGTTAACTATCTATAATTGATTGATACAGTTTAAACCAATGCTATCCTAGCATCATTTAGGTGGAGTCATGTTGGTTTTCAATGAACCATAATTCATAATTTTTTTTTCTGAAGCCATGGTTCATCTTTAATTTAAAAAATAAACATTTTGAAGCATAACATCAAAATACAGTTTATATAATCTAATAGTCTCTTAGCAATGCAATATATTTAACACATTAAAATGTTAATATTTAGTAATGATTCTAGGACAGCTTCCAGATTACAGCACAGTATGACAAATATACAGGCACACTTGCTAATTCCAATGCAATTTGTGCTATTCTTTCATGGAGAATGAAACCATTTTTCTTCCACGGGATATCAGTCCTAATTGATCTTACAATTGCTGTATAGAAATGGAATATGATGTCCGCAGTATCAAGGACTATTATGTTAGCAATAGTATAGAAGAAGAGACTACTTACGATGAGAATTGTAGTTCTAAACATCTAGCAGCTTTGGGAAGTTTGGCTTAAAATTTTGCAAGTAATTCTTTAGAGACTAAGCATTTGTCTTAAATACTACTCATCTATTGCTTAAAAATATGACTAACCATCCAGGCTTTAAATTGTATTCAGTTATTTGGAAGACACTTCTCTATCTGCAACCGAAGCAAATCTTGCTACTCATCAAAAGAATGAGACTGAAAGAAAAGTATAATAATCAACTTCCATAGGACACTGGCAGAGTTCAGTTAAAATTCCCATATTCTATTACCATTTATTTTATATATTGAAGATCTACAGTGCATGTAGATATAAAGAGGGCACATAATACAATAAAAGTAACTATAAAACCTTATTAAAATTATTGCAGTACATATTTTATTATTTTAAAGTATTTTACAATTCAATAGCTTGATGATGAAGAGTCGGACATGACTTAACGACTGAACAACAACAACAACAAAAGCTTTTTATCATTCAAAATTTATCTTATAATTCAGTATATATTATATTTAAATTTTTGTTGCAGAGAACAACATTAGCGTCAATGTCAGTGCTACATATGATGTGTCCAACACATCTGTCTATTCCTCACAACGGTGCCGCAGTAGCACTTGTGAAGGTGTGGCATTTGTTAAACAACTTGAAGTGAGTATGATGAACTTTTATAGCCACATTTCTAGCTTTGACATGCTTTATAGTGACTGTTATGCCTCCTTCTCATATTATGTTTGACTAGCTTTAATTTCAATGATGTTTTTCCCCATCTTTGCTGTGATGCTGCTAGTTTGTAAAGATATTTCTCAAATGTTCATGTTATTATCATTATGTCATTGAAATAGCAACAACCTTTTAAATCTGATGAAACAGAATACATGACTCTGAAAATTGCTAGGGGGATTGTATATACCAAATGACAAAATATTAAATTCAAGCAATTATTTTCTCCCAATAACCAATTGCCAAATAGGGAGCCAAGGATCTCTTAATTTTCAATAAATTGTCAAAAATCTAATGCAAAGAGTAACCAATGTTGACTATACAAGCATTAAGTCACTGATAGTTAATGTTCTGCCTCCTTTTTGGAGGAGGATCAGAACTATAGGAGCTATTCATGGACTGTTCCTCTTCCGTGACCTTCCTTCAAATCATTTCTGGAAATTAATAAAGAGTCTTTAAAATTCCTCTTGATAGGTTTGATATATCTACTTTTGCAAGGTTCAAATAATTTCTCCCAAACCATTCTGAAAACATGCACAGTCCTAATATCTAGTATGGATTTTGAGTTTAATTAAGTTCTAAATATATAAGATTACTGCCACAGGATATGATATTCAGCTCAGACATGGGAGACGGGAGTGAAGGTTTACAAGCCCTTTGGAGACATCCTGAAAAAGCATCTCTTTCTTCCACCTCAGCAGTATCAGAACCAGAATTAGAAGCCTTAAATCCAGGAGGGTAATGGCAACATTGTCTGAAAACACAGTAGGCTGAAAAACATAGAAGAATGAACAGGGAAAACAATTCAGCCTCATCCTTTAAGATTCAAGAAAGATCTATTATAATTTTGCTGACCCCACTGTAACTTCTTCTACCTTTTCCCTATTCTCATCTAAATAAATTAGTTTAGTTTTTGTTTTTCCCTGTAAACCTGTCTACAGACTCATCCCTCCTCCACACACCATCTTCTTGTTCAATTGCTTAGTATTACAAATCCAGAAAAGGAATTTTAACCTACAGATTGAACCTTTCTTCCAAGGGTTCTTCAATTAAAAAAAAAAATTAAAATAAACAGTCCAGCAGAATTTCCTAACTAGCTAAGAGTTTTTAATCTTTCTGGCTAGGACCTCTTTACTTCTATCTGGCTCTAGAAAAGTTAGAAAAGAAAGAAGCCCTGAATTTTCTTGTTCAAAGCGCAGAAATGCAGCAATTAAGAAAGCATGATGAACATCCTGAAATATAAGGAGTAGCTCTGCAACCATTCAGTCTTATCTTTAAATAAATACAAATTTTATTAGATAAAAGGGAAAATGGGGTGCACTTAGAAATGGCAAGCCTTACCCTGAGGCTGGCATGGGTTTGTTAAAAATAATTCATGCCAGATAAATCTTACTACTTTTTTTGAAGGAGACTAGATTAATAGACCAAGCATACCTAGTAAAACATTTGATAAGGTTGATCATAGCCATCATGATAAAATGGAATAATGTGGAAGATTGTTCCCACTATCAGCTGGATTTGCATTACCACCATACCCAACATGTGGTTCTTAGTAAATCCCTGTGTATATGGAGGGAGGTATGCAGTGGGATACTTCAGGGTTCTGCCCTGGGCTCACTACTCTTCAACATTTTTATAATATGACTTAGACAAGGGGATAGAACAGAGATAACACAAAGCTAACACTTCCAAAGACAGACTCAAGGTTCAAAAGGATCTTGATAGGCTTGAACATTGGGTGCTATCCAATAAAAGGATATTCAATGGTGAGAAATGTACAGGTAGTCCTTGACTTACGACCATTCATTTAACAATCATTCAAAGTTACGACAATGCTGAAAAAAGTGACTTACAACTGGTCCTCACACTTACAACCTTCGCAGCTCCCTGCAGTCACATGATCAAAATTTGGGCGCTTGGCAACTGGCATGTATTTACAACAGTTGCAGCATCCTGGGATCATGTGATCACTATTTGTGACCTTCCCAGGGGGCAAAGTCAATGGGGGAAGCCAGATTCACTTAATGACCACAGCAAAAAAGGTTGTAAAATTGGGTGTCACTCACTTGACGACTGCATTGTTTAGTGATGGAAGTTCGGGTCCCAATTGTGGTCGTAAATTGAGGACTACTTGTAAGGTTCTTAGGGAGAAAAAAACAGATGCATAGGTACAAGATAGGTTAGGGTTACCTGGCTTGGCTATAGTACTTGTGAGAAGGATGTGAATGTCCTGATATTTAATTAATTAATTTTTTGCCCCAGCTTTATTTTTGTCAACTCAAGGTGAGGTACATACCTAATACTCACACCTTCTGATTTCCCCACAACAACAACCCCATGAGGTGGGATGGGCTGAGGGACTGGCCCCAAATCACACAGCCAGCTTTCATGCCTAAGGGAGGACTAGAACACACAATCTCTCAGTTTCTAGCCCAGCATCTTAACCACTACACCAAACTGGTAGATCAAAAATTAAGCATGGGCCAGCAGTGTGCTGCAACTACCAAAACAGCCAATGCAATCTTGGGCTGCATCAAGAGAGATATAATATGACAATCACAAGAAGTGATAGTTTATGTTATACTGGTGAGACTGCACCTAGAACACTGTGTTTGATTGCCACAATACAAGGAGGGTTCTGAGGAACTGGAAAAAGTGCAGAGAAAGCAACAAGATGGTGAAGGGCTTGGAGGCTAAATCCTAAGAAATGGTTAAAGGAACTGGGTATGTTTAGCTTTAAAAAGAGAAGGCTTTGGGGAGACATTATAGCAGTCTTCCAATACTTGAAGGGCTGTCAAAGGGTATGGATTTTTTCTCTGTAGTGCCCAAGCACAGAACAAGAACCAGTTGGTGGAAGCTTTATAGAGGAAGATCCAAACTTGAATTAAGGAGGAATTTCCTGACCGTGAATGCTATTAAGAAGTGGAAAAATCTGTGCCCTGACCACCATTTGTCTCAGATGGTCTGATGATTCCTGCCCTGGCCAGGGGTTGGACTGGAAAACCTCCCAGATCCCTTTCAACCCTATGTTTCTATTATTATTTTTAGGTGTTAGTCAAGCCCTTTTCTTCATTTTATTTTCTTTATAAAAGCAATTTTACAGAGTGCAGAGCTAAGTGAAAGCCAGTTGCAGGTCTAACCAGCTAATCAGAAAATTACTTGCTTAATTGAACCCACCTTTGCAATGACCATTACAGATGACCATTCATTTAAATAAAAACACTGATTAGTTTTCATCAACCAAGGCACTGTGGTATATTAAAGAGGAATTATGTGAAAGAGGTATTTGGAAAAACAACATATGATTTCTGATCTACTAAGGCATCCTAGCATAGGGTTAATTTATTGAATACTTTAGAGGGCACACTTATGTCATACCGCAAAACAGGGGCTTGTCAAATATTGGTAAGCTGCTTCCTCTTGTTATAAATGAAGCTATTGTGGAGTATGTTCAAAAGTAGCTTGATGAGGCAGCAGTTGCAAGATGAAGTAGGAAGGAATTCTCACTTAACAATCACCATTTCCACACCTGTCAGCTGCTTTGCATGGTAGACCTAACCCACCCCATAGGTGCTCTGGATCTATGAAATGGTAAAGTGGCTCCTCATTGTCCTTGTCAACCAGCCCATGAAGCAGTGGACAGGACTATTGGGGTGGATGGGCACATCACCTTACATTTGTCATACCCCATTTTCTCCCCTTTTAAGGACTATTTTTAAAAAGGTTTAGCACTATTCCAAAAGAGTGGCAAACCCATGTTTAAAAGTAGTCTAGGAACACCTGGCAAACACTGTGCGGGTTGTGCAGTGAAGTGGGATCTCTCTTGCGTTATTGTGCAACTCTAACAGTGTCTGTCAGCTGTTTCTCAGACTGACAGATAGGTGCTGGCTGAAGAGAACTGACTTTTTCCCCACCAAGTGTCTGATTGCATGGTTGAGCTCTGTGAGAAATAAGACCTGCTGGGGAAAGAATCAGCTCTCCCCATTGCTCTTGCAACCCTGTCTGGCCTGGCAGCCTTAGAATCAAATGCCAGTCTTGGGCAAGATGGCAAGAGAAGTATCTGTGTGTAGAGGGGGAAGTTACTTGTCAGGTTGCTGAAACACACATCTATGTATACCTATTTAATTCAAATAGATTTAACAAATCTAGCTAGTCTGGTTAGCTCTGAGTTCATTCTATGTGATGACATCAAAGGACTACAGTTTGCCTATTTTCCACATGCTGCGTAGGATGAGATCTTCCTCAACATGCATGTTCATTCACCAAAGTACAGGTCAGAGAGCTAAACATTATCACTATTCCATGGCATCATATAATGATTGGCATCACATGCTAATGATTATATATTGATTATTATATTATTCATTGGTAAATACAGTTACTTGTAACTGCTCATCTTAAGAGGCACAATTCTGGGTGGCTTGCAACAGCAGTACAAAACCAAAACTCCATAAAAACAATAAAAGCAAAAAACTGGCACCACAACCATTCTCCTCCAATGCAGCTGACACCATCATCTTCACACTCCAACTCATCCCATCCTGGTACTTAATGGCCTTTCTTAGCTCAATAGGGCTGGAGCTACTTTAATCCTGGGGTAGGGTATGCGTTCCAGAGAAGGGTGATAGCAGTTGAGAAGCCTTTCTTAATGGCTCATGAAGGTGACACTTCCTCAGAGTAGGGATTCCAAAACAGCGATCCCTTCCAATTTTCTGAATGGGCAGAAACCATTGGGAGCAAGAGCTCTTGGAGATAGCTGGTACTGAGCCATGTTGAGCTTTAAAGGTGCACCTGGAAGCCTCTTGAAGTAGAGGTGCTCCCTGGGCAAAACAAGGAACATCCATAACTACTTAAGATGCTGCATTCTAGACTATATAGCTTCAGAGTGGTCTTTAGCCCATTTAGAGCATATTGCAGTAGTCAGATCGAGAGGTGACCAAGGCATGAGAGATTAAAAGTAGGATCTCTTGTCCAGTAATGGTTATAACTGGCACACTTGATGAAGTTGTGCAAAGGCATATTCTAACATTATCTAGTCTTGATTTTGATCTTTTGTGTTACAGACCCAAAGGAAACTTGGGTGTGTTGTCCTAGGTCCCACATGTTCATTTGCCACATATCAATTGGTCTCGTAAGTATCAACCAATATTTGAATAAAGTTAAAATATTGAATTAACTTGTTACATAGTTAAAGGCTTAGGAAATTCATGTATAAAATATTATACTTTGGGATCATTTCTCATCTTACATTTTCTTATGCCGTTGCACTGAGTCTGAAAGATTCAGCAGCATATCAGTTTAATGAATAATAATATCCTTGTTTCAATTGTAGTAAACATTCCATAGAAAATTACATTTTTGGCTGAAAGTCCTGGAATTTGCTAGTAGACTAGTGTTGCTCTAGTGTTAGATTTGTGCATAATTTAGGACTACCAGACACAGGCTATAAAAAAATGGGTGGCCGTTAGTTATCAGCAAAGAAATATAGATCATCTATCTCTTTGCTGATCTCTATGAGTTGTCCAGATTTCTGTAGCCCAGATCTGGTAACCTTAAAGTTGCAGGTACATTGACAGATGAATGATCAGAGCAATCTGTCCATTCATTCCCCATTCCCAATATCCACTCATGAAATATTGCTTCAGTCTGCATAAGAGGAAAATGAAAAAGCTCTTTAAAAAAATTAGGATAAAATCCTAAGGATGCCCCTCTTTCCAAGCAGCCCCCACACAGTGTGTGGTCACTGGTAGAATCCTGACTGATGGGCTAGTAGAACAATGGATGGGAGGAGGACTGGACGTTAATATTATTAATGCAATTGATAGCTGACTAACTGATTGAAACAGTCAACTGAAACAGTCCACACTATAACATTTGGCTATAAGAAGTACTTGTACAACTTATTAAATCATTTTTCTGAAAGAAATGGCTTACTTTATTTTGGTTTCATACTGATTTTAAGCTTAAGTCAAATTGAAGAAGAGTATTACAAGTGTGATTCGCATTACTTTGATTATGAAATACTGATAGTAATAGCAGCCATAGTGGAATAATTTGGTCATTATTTGTTTTTTAGATTAGAACACGTATTGGACCTCCCTCTGATTTCTGTTGGGAGTTTTGGTTTGTCTTGTGACTTCAAAGAAAAATTAACAAGAATGTTAACTCCAGCTAGGAAAGTGACCTACTTCTTGATTAATTTCTGGAAAAATGTCAGTTTGCCATTCAAAGTTGTTGTGTGGGAAACAGTTTATGTCTATAAGAAGAATGACATCACTGAAGACTGCTACTGGTAGGAAATTTTCAGGCTTCCATTCTGAAATTCAGTGTGTTTTTAAATGTAAAATTTAACCACATTCATTTGTACAAGAGTCTAATTTACATCTTACCTGTTTCATTCATTTCAATTAAAAGCAATAATTAACCATGCTTGTTCATTGGGGGAAAAAAATCCAAAAATCATAGGTGGATAATACAGGTATTAGAACCTACCAAACTGGCCCCAAATAAAACAAAATAAAATAACCAAAACAGCACACTATTTTATGCAATTGTAGTCTTAATAAAAACATTACTGAAGTATAGATTTTTTAAATTAGTTTTAGTGCATAAAAGAGAGTGTTCCTGCATATTGATTTCTGTTTCGCAAGCATTTGTTGTCCACAAAGACCAGACCGTGGCTATAGAAGACAAATGAAGTTATATAATTGAATGGTGGAATTACTTTTTTTCCCTCCAAACTTGAAGGAGGCCATGGGCATGCATTCACTATCAATACTCTGTTACATTAAATGTCTTTTCCCAGCAGAATTCAGGAAAAGATGCAATTTATTTAAGAGTTTCCAACAGATGTGATTTGCCACCATGGAATTCTTTTCACCTTTCTCCCTTCCAGGGGAATGATGTACCACCCTATTATTTAGTTATATCTGCATTTAACACCTGTTAGACACACAGAAAATTAGCAATTAAAAATTTAAGCATCACCTTCAGATGTCTGTTATATCTTTGATCTCAAATTGTATATGACGTAGTAAGAACCTTGGTGAAAATAGTGTAGCCTAGGTCATGCAGAACATAGAGCCAATGTCATAAACAGGGAAGGTAAGTTCAGAGTTGAAGAAAAAGGAATGTTATACGCCAGAAGGTAATAATTTAAGCCTCACTAGTAAAATTCTTCTAAGGGCTTCCCAGTAAATGATAATTTGCAATAGGCTGCCACCAGTCATGCTGAACCTCCTGACACATTCTGGTCTATCATTATTTTCAGTTATATAATACAGTGGCCAACCTCTATAGGAAGACTGTTGTAGGGCTGTTAGGGCCTGTGGGCATTTAAGATGACATATTCTAAATTTCTGATGTCTCTCCTTCATTTTAATGCAACTGTGGCCCTCCCAGGCTGCTAGGGTCTTGTTGTGTGCTCCAGTCTGAGGACCAATACCTAATCTCTGACTGGAAGGTGTATTCCCTGATATGCACATCATACCAGACCTATGTTCCACTCAGGCTCCCTCAGATTTTGCTAGGCAAGAGATCAGGTCTCTCTCAAGATGTTCTGTGGCTTCTCTACAAAGTCCAAGATGTTTACTCTAGAGAATGTTATTCCCCCTTCCACTAATGACATGGCAGTTCCAGCAACCATCTGTTATCCCTCCTGTACATAAGTTTGAAAGAGAAAAATCCCAAATCAGTGGTGTTGAAGGCAGTATTGAAGGCAAACAAGATCTGTGACAATTCACAGGTCCTGGAATATTTGTAGATGAGCTTTTATCATGGCACCCAAAGTTCCATTGTACTTTTCCTCTGGCTATTGATTTGGTGGTGGTAAGACACTAACATGATATTCTATATTATGGGTAGTAGTCTAACAACCCAGGAAGGAAAGTGGTTGCTGCATTGAAAAGTTCTCCAACAGCCAACCTATTCTGGCAAAAATGAATTTGTCTGAGCTGCTTTCAAATGCTATCTCCTAGTTGTGGATTTAAAAAATGCTTTAGCTCCTTTTGCCTAGGTAATAGTTCCTGCATATCTCTGCCAAGGCCATCTTCTTTACTTTCTACACCAATTCACTGAAGTATAAGAAGGAGGAGGAGGTACAGCATAGTCATGATTCTGGTATAGCCAATGTTGATAAAAGTAGTTTTAGCCTTCCTAGTGGACCTGACAGGAACTGGGTGCACAGATCATGTTTTCCTCACTCTTTCCTATCAAAGGATATAGCCCAAGAAGAGATAAAAATACTGCTACCATTATTTCTAGGGATTCAGTTCTTACCAACTTAAGGTACGAGAGACTAAATGTTTTGAATATATTTATATGGAACTGAGAGAACAAGACAGGTAGGGGATTATTTGGGTGTACCATGCACAACACTGCGAAACAGTTTCTCTTCCTGAACTGGGGAAGTGTCTCTGTAGGGAGTCATAGAGATGATCTTGGAGAACTATTCAGAGACAGGTGCAACAACATGTGCAGAAACATGCTTTCTGGGAAACAGAAAATATTAGGAAGAGACTCAGACTGACTCCTCCCAGAGGAGAGAGGGAAGGGAAAACACAGTTAAGTGTGCAAGATTCTGTTGCAATAGAATAGGTCTTGTGAAATCTGTTCTTGTGAAATCTGTTTCCTGATCTGGTCAACCTTAAAGGGCTGACAGTCTCAGAGATAGCATTAAGTTTCTCAAAGCCTTTAGTTCTTATGGGCTTCAATATAAGTCCAGCCTTTCTGGGGCAGCTCAGGAGTTCATGGCCACCATATTTTCCTTATATCTCTCTAAGACAATATCTGCCCTCACTCAACAGGCAGGGCATCTGGTCTTTTGTACTAATAGTGGTGATCCATGGTTAGAAGGGCCAAAAGTGACTCTTATGTCATAGATGGATCACTACATGATTGGGTTGTAATAATGGTATTATCCCTTGTCTGCTGGGGCACAGGGCTGCTTTTGAGGGCCTGACCATGGGATTGTCTAGATCCTACCCAATTTCAGAATGTGTTTGTGGGTAGGTTTGCTGATGTGCTGAAAGTTTTGACTAATACTTTGATGACTGAATGCAATTACCAGTGACTCAACCCCTCAATCAGTTGGCCCCCAAATGACTTCTGTCTATTACCAAGCCTGCAGATTTGCTACCTTTACTGAGGAATTGTGGGTGATGAAGCATGCTGGCAATTGACAAGACTACCTGTGGTGTAAAAGCAAGTATGGGGGATGCGGTGGCGCAGCGGCTTAATGACGCTGAAAGTTGCCGGCCAGAAATGGTCGACGCTTCAGCGGTTCGAGTCCAGCCTTC